TGACAGTGGAGTGACGTTGGACTTTTGTAAAACTTTCAGTTGATATCTATAATCTGGTCGTCTTCAAGGACAAATCAAACCATTGTACTTTCCTCAAATTTTAGTGGAATCATCTTCAACTGGGCTAGGCCCCGTGGTTTTTTTCCTTTCCGGGTTTTCCACGTAAAAAATATTGTGTTTTCTGTGTGTGAGCTGGATATCCGTGCAACGCTAAGACGTAGAATTATAACTCTATCGCCGCGTATATTCTAGCCCGCAACAATATTTAAAACTAAATAAAATAAAATTAAATAAATAAATATTCAAAAGTAAAATGTGTTACCAAATGTACCAAAATTCTTTTGAGAAATCATTAGATCATTAAACTTTTGTCCACTTCTATCTTATGTATATCCTAACTTTATTATTTTATTTTACGTGTATGTATTTTCGGAATTTAATTTTTGAAGCCCATTTAATATTTGCATCAAGATTTGTGCCCAAGATGATTTTTTGGAGATTTATCAATATGAATTATATAAATGACCTGATGATATTTTTTTAAAAAAGAAATATCTGAAATTCTTATGTACTTCTACATTTTATTAATATAATTTTAACCATAATGTTTATGACCCCATTTAAATGTATCATTTTTTTTAAAAAAAATACAGTTAAATATAATTTAGGCTTTAATTTATTTTTAAATTCAGTTAATAATTAGAAATATTTCACCATTAAATCACATATAATATTCAAATAATTATGTTAAATAAAGCAATTATTTCATTTGAAAAAAAAAAAACAAAAAACAAAACTTTTAATATAGCATGTATGTTGTTTTTCTGTTCAGCATCATCAATAAACCAAAAGATTTATTTAAATAAATACCACGGAAACAATCAGCAAAGCGGGGATAGCTCAGTTGGGAGAGCGTCAGACTGAAGATCTGAAGGCCGCGTGTTCGATCCACGCTCACCGCATTAAGTTTTAAATTTTAAATTTTAAAATATAAATTAATACTTCTTAACTTTATTTGTTAAGTTCTTAAAAAAATGCCACAATTCATGATAAAATATAAATTTTAATTTTAGAAATAATAAATATTTAAATGAAATCTATGTAGTTCATTAAAAAATATAATTATTTTTATAAATAATCAAAATTTAAGTGAATCTATATAATTCTCCAAAAATATTAATATTATAATGCAATTTAATTTGAATTATAAAAAAAAATTTATATTTATTTTCATTCATCTAAAATAAATTCAACTTTACTTAAAAATATTAATTAAAAATAAATACTAAATTATTTAAGAATCCTCTCAAATAATTTGTTTTCCTCCTAATTTCTCATTTTATTATCTCTTATTTATAATAAATGAGCAAATCATTAAGCTTAATGACAGTAAATCAAATTCTTAAAATTAACATTTAAACTATTCATATTTGTTTTATAATAAATTCCATGTCGACTATAGCTTTAGAGAAAAGAATAAATGAGAGCATTTGAGCTTTTAGGGGTGTAATCAATTTGATTCTTCATGGAGCTCAAGTTCGACTCAATCTCATTTACTAAGCTCCAGCTCGACTCATAAAAAAAATATAAACTCGAGCTCATTTGAAATTCTAGAACTAGACTCGATTGTTTAGCACAATTTATTAATTTAAAATAAAAAAATTAAATTTTTTTAAAGAATTTTCATTTTTAATATAAAATTAATTTAAAAAGAATAAATACATAATATAATACTAATTTAAATTACTTCTTAAAAACATTTTAAGTTAATCAAGCAGCTCAACAGGCTTTCAAGCCAAACCAGGCTGATTTTGAGCTCGACCCCGTTTAATATAAGAGCTTGAGACTCTCAAGTATAGGCTCAAACTCGAACTTGTGATTTGATAAACTCGACTCATGAGCTCTTTAATGAGTTCAACTTAAGTCACTTACACCCCTAAGAGCTACTAGAGATCAAGAAGGCAGTGATGAAACCATTAGAACAACAGAATGAACAATGAAATACTTCCACCACACAATCAAACTGAACAAAATCAAACTAAAGCAATATTATACAAATGAAAACCTCCCTAAAATACAACTTCAGATAAATAACACAATGGATTCCACATAAAACATGATTTTCTACCATATTTGTTACTTGAATTCTTCCTCAACCACTCTACCTCATTCCTCAATCACACAGCTGCATTGAGATGTTTCAGATCTCAAAAACACAAGAGAAAATGGTTCCAAGAAACAAAATATGAAGATGCTAAAGAACTAATAAAGCTATATGATATATCTTCAAGTTGAGCAGCAGCCAACTTTCTTAAGAGCAGACACATCATCTTTGACATTTATCTTCTCCCCTTTGCTGGGAGCAGAACTTGCTCCATCATCACCTGAATCAATCATCTTCTTGCTCACAATGCGATAGATCTGTGTTAGGACCTCGGCGAATGCATTCTCGACATTGATGGCTTCGAGTGCTGATGTCTCCATGAAATAGAGTGATTCTTTTTCTGCGAAGGCTTTACCATCTTCTGTGTTAACAGCAACAAGATGGCGGAGATCGGATTTGTTTCCTATGAGCATGACGATTATGTTTGGATCGGTGTGGTCCCTTAATTCGCGCAGCCATCGTTCGGCATTCTCGAAGGTGGCGTGTCGAGTGACGTCGTAGACGAGCAATACACCTACGGCTCCTCGGTAGTAAGCACTGGTAATGGCGCGATACCTGCATGAAGTGATATGAAATTGAGGAAGCTTCAGTGTGGTAACAATAAGAAAGTTCTTAGACAACAAGCTCATCACAAGATTCTGCAAACAGGGAATCAACTGGGGTTTTCAATTTGGTTTTCAAAATGTTGTTTGAGCTATGATCAGTAACTTTGCCTAGAAATCAAAGTTCTCATAAACATTGCTGATACGTATTATGAGCTGGCTGATGTCAGGTTCTGAAAGTAATACACTGTTGTTATCTGTGACTCCCCTTCAATCAAAAATCAATTGCACCAAATTATTAATTGAGCTTAAAATGCACAATGTCCTCTTAGTTGGTCACCATCTTCTCACGAATGCCATACCCCTCATAATGAATGGTGCACAATTTTAGTTTCCAGAGATATTGGGATTAAAAACCAAGTTATCAAGAGTAAAATGTGCACATAGCCTAGGCTCTTCTCACACCTCAACAAGGAAGAAGCCAAGATCTCAAGTTGAAGCACATGACGATGAAATATTAGTCACTAATCTTCATACCTAAGCTCTTAGGTCTCAACTTGTTCTCGCCAAGTGGCGGTATTGCGGCTGAATGGGGGCACAACAGTGTTGTAAAACTGCAGGATTGATGTAATAAAGCACAAAAGAAAATACACGGGGGCGAGGGGATGCAACAAGGGCGCCAAAGAAAAAAATAAGTGGTTTCGAGAGTGGAAACAGAAATCTCAAACTTTCATTAAACATCCAGTCTATCATAGTGAAGGATGCTAGGATTAACATGCAAATACAACAACAACATCAAGCCTTTATCCTACTAAGTGGGGTCAGCTACATGAATCGTTTTTCTCCATTGTGTTCGATTAAGAGTTAAATTCTCATTTATATTTAATAAAGAAAGGTCATTTCTAATATTTTCTAACTCTTTTTAGGTCTACTTCTACCTTTCTTAATATAAGTTAAATCTACTACATCTACTCTCCTAATCGGGTCATCAAAAGGCCGTCGTTTTATGTGACCAAATCATCTAAGGTGAATCTCTCTAATCTTATCTTCCACTGGAGCTACTCCAACCTTTTTACGTATATGCTCATTTCATATCTTGTCTCTAAGAGTAAAGCCACTCATTCACCTGAGCATCCTCATCTCTGCAACACTCAACTTAATATTATGCTTCTATTTTAATGGCCAACACTCTGCAACATAAAGCATTGCAGGTCTAACCACACGCAAATACAGTAACAAAAAATATCATAGAAAATAAATTCTAATAAAACTTGCAATGAAATAAACCTAATAAAATAAAATTCAATTATTCATTAAATTCAAAAGGCCTAATACAGTAATGGGATAATTAATTTATCAGCCAGGTCAGATCTGATAACCATAATCAACTCGTCCAAAATTTGAAGGATGAAGGTGGCTCTTCATAAGACACCAAAGCATAAACATGATCATGGATGACTTCTCCATCAGGCAAAATAATGCTCCTCACCCGAGCTTAGTAATATCTTAACTAATACAACAAATGGGATTGGGGCAAGGACTGGAGGCAAAGCTGGAACTAATGCAGCAGATGGGGATGCAAAAACCCCATTTTTAGAAATAACTATTGAAAACTTTGGAGGCTCAAAAATACTCCTATATAGTACTAAATCCTGATATTAAAAGTCAGACTATAATATTCAGGTAATTAGGCAAATCAATAATCCATTCATTTGATCCAAAATTCTTAGGTATTTGTAAGGGGGATGAATTATGCTTAAACCACTCATTTCACTTTCCATTTATTATCCATCTATTTATTGTCACACCACTATAGGTCCCCTCCCTTTCTTCGACATCAACTACTAGCAACATGAATGTAGCTTTGACTATTAACATATCCACTTGAATTACTTGAATGGGGGATGAATTATTGATGACAGAGCCTTTACAGCAAAGAGTAAGTAAAGTAGTGCAGAAATATACAGAGGATTATAGAATGTAAAAGGCTTTCATATTGATGCAATGCTTAGCTTATAATGCCACAGTCTCTAGCTACTATATATAGGTAGAGAAAGTGTTTGCGCATGTGGCAATTGATTCTGTTAATTATGCTTAAACTATTCATTTCACTTTTCAAACCAACCTTCAACTGCTCCATTTCTCTATTTACTTCATCACGATTACTTGTGATGTCTCCTTCATCTTACGTGTAAGGTACTTTGATTGGTGCATAATCTTCTTCACACACATCATATGGAACACACCATTAAAAGAAGATGTAAGTATTGGTTACATATGTTAGGTAGAGTTTGCACTTGTTTGGATGGGTTTCAAATATGTCCACAATTGCTAGTCTATTACATTTACATAACTTGTTCTTGAATTTGAATCTTAACAGAGATGAATGACTTCCAACACTACTACCAGCATCGGTGCAAGAATCCATTATCAACTATCTACAATTGCATATAATAAAATCGAAAGATGAAAGAAATTTAGTTTAGGCCTTTTTTATACCAATTAGATAGAACCTGCGAAGAGAGTGCTTAGAAATAGAAATCTAACTAGCCCCCAGTTTCTCTCTCACTATTCTGGATAGCAACTAGCATACTATGTGGAGACCGTTAAAGAATCATGGCAGATAATTTTAGGGATGAAATATGATTAACATTCACACTCAAGTCACATGCAAGCCCGTGTAATCAGATTTAACACTATTTGGGTAAAATCATCAAGAAACACACCCCAATTTGAAGGCTGCAAACTTAACATCAGGACCTTGGTGAAAATTCAAAAAAGTGTTTTATACCAAAATATAGAATTTTAAAAAATATATGGACCAACGTGAAAGATCCATACCTTAGAACCACTTATAATTTACTCTTATTATTATCATGCTACCATGCTTGATAGAATTTAGTATATCTTGTTCTTCTATAATGCAAGGCTCATGGTAGTGACAATATCTTAATAAACAATTATTTTCCTTAACGCATCATAAGGTGCTGAACTAACCATCTGGTCAAAGATCTTGTTGTTAGCATCAAAAGAGCTACTTTCCCAAAAATAATAAATTAATTGCATCACAGCCCACATGGCAATTCACATAGAAAAGAAATTATTTAGGTAAGCTTATTCTACTTCAAATAATCATCATACCTGACCTACTTACAAGTTGATTTATTATTATTTTTTTAACTTTAGTATAAAGAACTTAATTACCCTCAAGTAACTTTTAAATGTGATAAGAATCAATGATATTAAGGATCAGAAAAAAAAACTATTTTGAAGAAACAAACGCATTTTAACAGGAATAAGTTGGCATACTTGATGACACATATTCATTGATGTGTTGCTGATTTGATTGGTATCAGAATTGGGAGAAAGTATTTTTCTATATTTTATTTGTTTATTTTATAAAATAACAAATGATCTCAATTTTAGGGTTGTAATTTATAATATCATATAATTATTTCTTTTTCAATTAAGTTTAAGATATTTAATAAATTTAAATAGATTTATTATTTTATGAGAAATTAAAAAAATTATTACTATATGAATTCATTTAAAGTTCATTTAATTTATATAATTACAATGCATATATTTTTAATTTCAAGATATAATATTATAATGGTGTATCTAATGAAAGTCCATGTACTAGATTTTCAATAATTAGAATGTCACATATCCATGCTGTAACATGCCAGTATCCCCATATTCTTATTGATGCATCATAGAAACAAATAAAAAAGCAACAAAATTTCTTTCTTTGGGAAGCTTATGCCTAACAGATTAAAAAAATCTTTCAAATATCATGTTTCAATGATCACTAAATAACTTACCTATAAACCTCGACCCACCCAAGACGACCACATTCCAAGCAAACTTGGGTCAACAAACAGGCTACAAATGCTTCAAATGTAGAGTAGATATTAGAAAATTTCAGTACAAATCAAATGATTTACTGTATATTGCTTGACGACCGCATTCCAAGCAAACTTGGGTAAACAAGCAGGCTACAAATGTAGAGTGGCTATGAGAAAATTTTAGTAGAAATCAAATGATTTATTGTATATTGCTTGGCCACCGCATTCCAAGAAAACTTGGGTCAACAAACAGGCTACAAATGCCTCAAATGTAGGGAAAATTATTAGGTCCGGTCACCTAACAGAGACGCATCCGGATTTATCTCTGTCTACAGTCAAAGCGCAGTTACTGTAGCAGCTGCACTTTTTAACTGCGCTTTGATTGTGCTTTTACTGTAGATAGAGAGAAATCCGGATGTATCTCTGTATTAGGTGACCGGACCTAATAATGTTCCCAAATGTCGACTAGATATGAGAAGATTTCAGTACAAATCAAATGATTCATCTGTATAAGAACTATATAGGAATTAACACCTGAGATGCTAACCTTAAGTCCTTCGTGAGATGAAGCTTGTACGCTACTGTATTTTTCAAGTAGTAGTCCCAATTTAGAACTAGAGAATAATAGAAACTCTTCTCTCAGAGTGACTTCACCGCTACAAAACACCAGACCATCAATGCCGGGCAAAGAGCATTTTCCCACGAACAAACCTATTCAAACCTCACTAACTCAGGCCAACATAATAATAGCAGCAAACCAAACATCTTGCTTTCCTTGACGGAGAATTCAAACCCTATTGTCTGTTCAACTGTCATTCCCTATAACTTGTTCCATTGAACAAGCCATTCACCAAAAAGGAAGCTTCAAATTCCGATCTTGCACTTTTCTAGATCCGAGTTTATTGCACAGGACAAGAGACAAATTTCAGATCTACCACCCTAACATAAACATGAATCCATGAGGCATTTATCAAAAACGCAACAAATGATTCAGATCTATAACTACATACAACAAATCAAGCTTAAAGCGTCATAATGTAGAACATTCACTAGTAGCAAATCACGGCTCACAAGCGCAAGCAGATCCATTACAGATTCGACATACTTAAAAAAACAAATGCGAAACCGGACACTACAGCGAGATCTGCAAGTGATCGCACTCAAACAGCTAAAAAACAAATGAGGGAAAGTATAAGGCAGATCAAGAGCAGTAATAGAAAGCGAGAAAAGACCAGTCTACCTTTCCTGGCCTGCGGTGTCCCAAATCTGCGCCTTGATGACCTTGCTATCGACATTTACGCTCCTAGTGGCGAACTCCACCCCAATGGTGGACTTCGACTCCAGACTGAACTCGTTCCTCGTGAACCTCGAGAGAAGGTTCGATTTTCCCACTCCCGAATCCCCAATTAGCACCACTTTGAACAGATAGTCATAGTCGTCCTCCGCCCTGTAAGCCGCCATTGCTCACTCTCTCTCTCTCTCTCTCGCGCCGCGGGCGGAAGAGAAGCACTTGTATAGATTCCTCCCGCAGCGGATCCGCGTCGAAAACCAAAAAATAAAAAAGGAGAAATCTTAGCCGCGGATACAGGGAAACGCGCTGAAGTCTGAAATTACGAAAATGCCACTATGAAATATTAATTATGCGGTTGTTTGAATTTTTAATGAAAAAAAAAAAGAAATTATTTTGATGTCACATATTTTAAATAGCACACATCATACATTCTCTTTTGATATAATAAAATTATTAAATAATATAAATAATTAACCAGATAATTTAAATTAAATCATTCCATATTCACAAGCCACAACTTGTATTATTTAATAAGTTAATTATATTAAAATATAATTTAAAATATTTGAATTTTTTTCTTAAAATTTTAAAGAAATATACGTTATGAAAATAATCCATTTTATAAAAATATGTTAGGATAATTTTAAATAATTTTATTTTCAATTTTAATGCGTTGTTAGAGTTAAATTTGGGTGCTTAGCTGTTAATCCTTTTTGTCATGGAAGTGGGAACTCGACAAGGCGACAGTAATTAAGTGCCAAAACCTTTTCGTTAATTACTATTTAATAGGACCGAGTAATGCTCTGCTTATTGATTTACTTTCTTTTCTAATAAATTTTTTATCATAAAGTTTAAGTGTTGCAGAGATGAACATGCTCAGGTTTAGGGGGGAAATGATTAGGTGCAAACACTGGACTTAAAGATGCTTTCGGATTATTGGATGTACTGTGTACGCTCTGCTTATACTCTGCATATATTCTGCTTATATCATGCGTACTTATAGATACACAGCAAATAAGCATCAAATAAGCAGCAAATCTTCACAACTAAATATTTGTTGCTTATTTACTGCGTATCTACAAATACGCATATATACACAATAAATACGCATAGTGTAGGCAGAGCTTAAGCATAAGATACACAGTATCTAGACGCATCTCAACGTCCAGTGTCCGCACTTAATAATCTCTCCAGGTTGAGTTACTTTAGATGGTTTGGTAACATGAAATGTTGGTTTTTTGATGAATTGAATAGGAGACCAGATGTATTAGACCTGGCTTAAGTTAAAAAAGGTAAAGATATACCAAAATCACTTAATTAGAAAGTGTTAGAAATGATATATATTTATTAGATTTAAATGAGAATTGGACCTTAATATGATGCAATGAAGAAAAAGAATTTATCTAGCCAACCCCATGTAATGGGTTAATTGCTTGATGTTGTTGTTGTCATTGTCAAAGTATAATTGAGCTTTAATGGAGTATTGATATGTCAAAAAAATCTGGTCTTGTTCAGGCACGAATCTCAAAGTATATATGAGTTGACAACTTTTAAAATTAAATTCAGGAACATATGAACATCAATTTCAGCAAACTTAAAGTCAAATTGAACATCTCGAGGAGACGACTGCAACGACACAAAAATTGGTCCAATACAGGGTCGAATGGATCAAAATCAAGGGGCTCAAGCATATTTGAAAGGTTCAAAGCATTAATGTGATAAACAAGTGATCTCTAAATATGACATGCATATAGTCGAATCGAGCGGCTCGACGAGACAAATCCAACGAGCTCAAGATCGCTTAATTCTAACATCATTAAGTTTTATAAATGCTTGAAAAATACTAAATGATCAAGTGAATCAATATGAGCCATTCGAAGGAGCTCTCCGAACTTCTCCTGAATCTTCTTCATATTTAGAGGATGTGTGACTCACAAAAATCTAAAAATAAACTCTAACTCTCTATATGAGGGCATATTTGGCTGAAGATTAGAAAGAGCTCTGAAGCTTTAAGAATCCTAGAGTTCTACCCAAATACCACCACCGACGAACTTCCATCGACCATTGTTGGACTACCACCAGCCACATTGACCATTGTTGGACTACCACCAGCCACAATTGACCGTCACTAGTCTAGTCCAAGACTATTGCTTTTTATAAAAGTTAATTGTGAAAATGTTATAAAAAATTTTAATTATACTTATTGTAAATAATAATTTTTTCATCACAAAAATTGTTGAAAAGCAACAAGAATAAAAAAAAAAAAATAACTAATTGTAAAAAAATAAATTTTCATTTCAAAAATTGTTGAAAAGCATAAAACAATACAATGAAAAATAGTAGCCAAACGAAATTATGATTGCCATATGAAAAATAGAGTAACGAGAAAGTTGTCCTATATAGGCCGTAAATAGAATGAATTAATATGTTAGTATATCCTTAAAGTAATTTTTAATACTATTTATTATAATGAAAACCATACATTAACAAATGAGCATGTATAAAAAAATTTAATATGATGAGATATTTCTTCTTATAATAAAAATAAATTATATCACTTATGTGACAATGTATATAGTAAAAACATAATTAATTTAATACTCATTGTCAATTGTCAATCATCATATCAATATTCTTCATACATAATAACAAAAATAAATAAATCTAAAAGTTCATGGGTATAACTTCTTATATGTGAAGTAAATACATTCTTTGCTTGGGATAAAAATTAGTTAAAAGAAGCTTCTAGTTATCTACAAAATTTTAGCTTTAGCCACAACACCTATGCAATTATTTCTTCCAAAAACATCCACATTATGATCTTATCCTCCAAAACATAAGAATATATAAGGCTGAGGTTTCAGTTGGAATGATTTTCTTACTGCTTGTTAAAATAATTTTTTTAATTAAAAAAAATTATAATAAATAACAGTTTTAAGAAGCAACAAGAAAACTGTATCAAACAAAACCCGAGTTTCTGATATTAATGAGATCAAAGGCTTATAATGGCAAGACCGTCGAAGAATGTAATAGTGAAGTCTCAAAATGCAGAAACAATAGTTGCTGTGAAGAAAAAAACAGTACTCTGGTAAGAATTTAGGTTTCGTTTGGGACGGCTTTCTTACTGCTTCTTAAAACATCTTTTTAGTATAAAAATAAATTTTTTCTACTAGAAAGTTGCTTTAAGAAGCAGTAAGAAAGCCGTCCCAAATGAAGCCTTAAGCTGAATAGGCTTATAGTCCAAGCTAAAATTTTGTAAATCACATGCAAAAACAGTACCTATGAACATCTCGGTTACTATATAACCCAAAATTTTTCAAAAAATATACAGAAATAGTTGACATTTGGTAGCTCAATTGCTGGACAAGTCTTTCAGCTACTAATCAATCAAACATGAAAGAAACAGCATAAAAGTTATAGTCTGAATGTGATTTCAAACCTTTCAAGCCAGCACGGGCCTCGGCTCAAGCGACTCCTTTCCAGTTATTCCTGCTTTCAATGTCCTGAAATATTCATCGTAGTCCTTTTCCGGTGGTGGGTTTTCTGGATCCACTGTGAATGTTTCGCTGAATGGAATCGTGCTTTTAACCTGGAATGTGATAGGAAATATTTGAGTTCACAAGTAACCCTAAGAGAAATACTTAAGTTCACAAGCAAATCTAACAATAATCGGTAAAAAACAGCGAGCAATATGCTGATTTCAGAGAGAAAAACAGCAAGAACGATGCAGAAATTTCAGAATATTGGAGAGAAACACAAGGAAAACTTCTTCAATTCAATCCACAAATAAGAAAAGCAAGACAAGATACAAGTTTCTTCGATTCGAGAGGAAGAAACAACTCTCCAAATCTATAGCACACCTAACCCTAGATCTCAAATTTCTTTCAAATTCAAGATGAAAAACTAACCCTAACAATAGAGACTAATTAAAGCAAAGAGGACAATTACAAAATCCAAAAAAAATTATTTTAAGATCTTCTTTCAGTCCAAAAAAAAAAAAGAGGAAAATTACAAAATCTCTAAAAATCCCTTAATTCAAATTTCCCTCCCAAGCAAAACTTAATTAAGAAGTGCTGTACCCATAGCTCTAACCGCCCCCTCTCTCTTATCCCTTGTTTTGCCCGCCTCCTTTGGCATTGAACCGGTTCAGGATGGACTAGTTCAGCTGGCCCCTGGGCCGGCCTAACAGAATGTTTACCACAAAAATACCGGCTGAATATAGCATAATAATATTTCAACCAGGCGCAAAAGTAGTTCAGATGAGTAGGCATGAGGCCAGTTGCAGATAAAGACAGCATAAAATTAGTTAAAGATCAAATTTCAAGTGGGAGCTGCTGAAAATTTAGGTACATAAGGTCATAGGTTGGACTTGATGAACCTATGACCACTAATACATAGCTTGAGCAAGCGTTCTTATACGTCCCAAGTAAGGTCAGATTAGAGTTACATGATGATGATCCAATTAGTAGATGCTAATCATCGAAAAAATTGTTGTTGAGTATTAGTTCTTATTGGAAGAAGGAAGAATTCATTTGTTAAACGAATAAAAAATTTGAGTTATGGGGTTGCCTAGAACATCACTAGACTTTCCTTTTTCAAGTCACTTAACTGCTTACTTAAACTCGACCTTCACCCAAATTTAGAACTTTTGTGTCGGGTGTCTAATATTGATGCTAAGACTTAGTTTAAGACGGCTTTTTTACTGCTTCTTAAAGCAGCTTTTTAATATAAAAATTAAATTAAATTTTTTATATTAAAAAGCTGTTTTAAGAAGCCGCAAAAAAGCCGTCCTAAACAAAGCCTAAGTTTAAGTACAATATGGTAAATTACTAAGCAAATATAAAAGTAACTGCATGAAGACTAAATGGATGCACAGATGGCATGTCTGGCTAGAGAGGGAACAAGGAATTAAGAACCTCAAAGGTCTTGTCGCATGCATAAGGGCTCTCTAAAGCTGCAATACAAATTCTCGCAACCTCTTCTCTTGAAATCTTTCCCTGCATGCATTACAAAATTTATGCATCCTTAGAATTTAGATATTAGTAATTAAGGCTTCGTTTCGGATGGCTTTCTTACTGCTTCTTAAAGCAACTTTTTAAAGAAGCAATAAGAAAGTTATCCCAAACAAAGCTTAAATGTGCTCTTAAAGAACACTGAGGAGCAGCTAAACAAATGCTGGACTAGTTGAAATCTAAAATAAGAAAAATTAATAAAACGCAAGAAAAATAAATTTCAAGAGACTCTACATACCGTTATATTATCTCCCTGATCAAAAATAACATCTGCACCAGCAGGCTCCTCAGTTAAGGCGCAGGGTCTTATTATTGAATAAGGAATACCGCTTTCTCTTATCAAATCCTCTCCCTGGCCAAAATTCAGGATTAAGAGGACTAAACTAATGAAAAACATTTATCAACCATAAAGCTTGTCAAGAACCAAGCAACCACGCGTACTCAGCGCCATGGAGATCACATTAATATAGGATCAAGAAAAAAGTTGATATGCACAACCACCGCATAACTAAATTGAGGATTAAGAAGACACCTTTTGAACTAAATACATTAACCAACGATATAAATTGCCAAGAATCAGACAGTTACGATGTATTTAGTGCATGGAGATCCAGCAAATGTAGGATCCATGATTTAAATTTACAGGCCTTCAGATTAAGAACCAAGCAACCATGCATACTTATGCTTATAGTAGGAGCTACAATGCCTTAAAAAATGTTTGAACGGGAAGTGCTCTCAGATTATCCTCCATTTTCCTTTAATGAAAATATATCTCAAGAACAATAATATAACATCAGTGCTTAAGTAAAAGAAAATATGAATCTTTCATTATTTTTCTTCTGAAAGTAAAATTACGATTGATTAGTTCTTTTCATAGACTTAACCACAACACCTTACAACTAGTAAATAGCAATTCCTCTAGTTACTAATAGGACTTGATGATCAAAACAACACACAATAATATAAAAAACAGCAAACTTATTCCAAATAGATCCAAAAATAATACAAAGTGGGTTGTATTTACTAATCTCTAAGCAAAGAAAGACAAGATATAGGTTGATTCACTATTCAAGAGGTGAATCGTCTCTCTCATAATTCCAAGCAGTTACTAGGAACTCAAACACCCAACAAAAACTGTTGCAGAAAACAAAACTCAACAATTTCCCCCATAAACAGCCTAAATCCCCTAATAAATGTTACTTACATCTTCCCCAAAGAGCTCCCCCACCCCCACCCCGGCACACACACACATAAATCCCTTCTCTTATAGGTGATAAAGAAGGTCCTGGGCCCCACAGATAGGGGTGTTAATATTTGACATGACCCAAAAACCCGACTTGAACCCTACCCAAAAATTTCGGGTTAGGGTCAAACTGAACCCGAAGCGGGTCATCGGGTCAGAAAAACCGACCCGTTTTAAAAATCGGTTCGGGTTGACCCAAAAATCCGTGAATGACCCGAAATGACCCGCGTGACACAGGATTCGCCTCTGCCCATTGCCCGCATTGGCGCGTTTGAGTCGAGTCGTGTAGCCACCACATCAAGTCTGCCCGTCATGTCCGCGTTCGACTCTGCTGTCTTTATTTATTCGGTAAAGAAGCATGGTGGAAAGGTGTTGGTTGCAACCTACATTAATGAGTTCCCGTTGCTTCTCCGAAGCGGGATCAGAAAAAAATGAAGCCGCAAAGAAGAGATGGAATGATGGATACGGTCCGGTCACAATGGCAAAATAGGACTTTTTTACTTTGTACTTTTTAGCATCCCTGCCTCTGCAAGCTCCACGTCGACACTTTTCTCACCGGCCCCGGTGATCTCCAGTGGCTTGAACCTATAAAATCTCGCACAAAGCAGATAATACCCAAGACCAAAGTTCAAAACTTGTAATCCGGAGAATAGTAATAAACTAATAATACAACCTGCCCATGTTAATATCATTATGTAACCAATTTCCCTTCTTCTTCTTCTTCGTCAAATTTCCGACCAACGTCACCAAAAAAAACAACACTGCCGCCGCCGCCATACTCCATATGCCCTCTGGGGCTTTTTAGCATATTTCGTTGCAAATAGAAGTCGACGGATGCGAAGAAGCTTGGTCGTATAAGCAAGTATGGCCACATATTAGATCAGACCAAAGAGGCAAAAAGAGGAAGGCCCCGACGTAGCAATAAAATGCTAAACTACACTCACCGTGCATCAACAAAGATCCAAAGCTTCTCACCAACAGCAGATTTACAGAGTTACGGGTCGAGTTCGGGTTGACCAAAACCTGAAGCGGGTCGGGTTTGGGTACAGAAAACTAACCTGTTTTTAAAATCGAGTCGGGTTCAGGTCAGGTCAAAAAGTCCCGATTCAGTTTCAGGTTGGACCCGAACCCGGCCCGTGACTCGATTTTGACAGCCCTACCTACAGGGTAGCTGAAAGGTTCTTGATCTGCTGCCCGGGAACCGAGCATTCTGCATGGGAGGGAGAGTTGTTCTCCTAGGCAGTTGTGTTGCCCGCCTGGGCGGCTCTGCTACCAACCTAGGTCGTTGGGTTACTCACCTGGGGTGAGGGAACCACTGCTGCATCAATTACCTAATGCAATCACCAACCATAACTCCTCATCCCCTAATTGAAACACAATCTAGATCCTTACATTATAAATTTTAAAAATTGGATGAAATTCTTAAATTTAATCCACTATAAACCAAGACTTCAGCCGGCGACTGAATGATTTTACAAGCAAACAACACAAATATAATTGCAACCACTTATATGTTTTCATTAGATGGAAAAGAGAAAAGAGTGTGTTGTTAATGATATTGTTCACCATCATGTGGTTGCTACTTGCAATGTTACTTTTGTCAATTTATTTAGTTTACTTCAGCATAATTGTCTTGAGTTGTGCTATGCTGTAGAGTGAAAAAGATAATTATTTAGTAAAGTTGTATTAATTGTTATCTACTAGTATTTTAAGAGTTCTAATTGTTTCATGATAAGAGTTATAGCAGATTGATTTTGTCTTTCATTCTAACATTTATATAATATTCGAAGAGCTTTTAATAGGAAACAAACAAAATATAAAAATAATAACCACAAAATAATTATAATAATCCATGAATTGATGAATTGTCATAATAATAATTACAAAATAAGTAAAATAGTCCACAGATTGATGAAGAGGCACCATTAATCCCACATATCAATAAGTATCCCATATATTTCTATTTCGATATAAAAATTTCATATTGAGATTGTGTAACCTTAATGCCAACATATTTTAACTTATCAAATTCTTTGACTTCAAATTTTTAGAGCAACCTCTTCTTTAAATTCTATGTATCTTCCAAGGCACTACATGTTACAATGATATCGTCAGCATAAATTAGTAGTGTGAAACTAACCCTGAAGCAATGTAACACAAATAAGACATGGCCGTCTTGATTCTATTTGTATCCCATGTTGAGCATTAACTTGATGAACCTTGCGAAACATGTCCTTAGAGATTGCTTCAAACCTTGAGCCTTTATTAGCTTACAGCCTTACATACCTTATGTTTTGTGTTCGAGACAAAACTCCAATGGGTTTCCCATATATACTTCCTCTAGATCACCATGTCAGAAGGCATTCTTCACATAGAATTATTGCAATTTTCAAAGTGTTGGCAACTAATGATAAAAAAACTAGAATAGTGTTCATTTTAGCAACAAGATCAAAATTTTCAATATAATCAATTATTATATTAGAGTGTAGCCCGTTTTCACTAATCTACCTTTATATTTTTTTAATGAAACATCGAATTCTTACTTCAAAGTAAAGATCCACCTAAACTATTAACATCTCTATTTTGATAGTGTTACCAATTCTCATATTTTATTCTTTTTAAGGGCTCTCATTTCTTCTCTTATAACATTATTCAAATCTTATTATTTCAAGCTTCAAAGATAATTTTAGGGATATAAATAGTATCAAGACTAGTAAGGAAAGATTTGGGGCAATGAGAAAGATTTTTGTATGATAAGAATGAAACTCAAGTGAGTTTCAACTGAAGTACCTTTGTTTGCAGGCTCAATGATTCCCTAAGTGAATTTAGTGTTAGGGATCGATTTAGCTAATTAGACTTGCGTCAACTAAGACGCCTTCCTTCTTGAGTAAATTTGTAATGGCTACGTGGGAAGTGATTCTAGCATAAGCTCAATTTTTTGTATGAGCGGTTGGTTTTGGAATAGAATTATTTGCTAGAATGATATGGTAAGGAAAGGGACAAAAACTCATTTGGAAATGATATTTCTTCCTTTGAGTAAGTAGTAATAAAATATCAATATTTTTCATTGAAAGTGGCATCAACAACACATGCACCTTTATCGTGGGAACATGGTAACATTTAATTGCTCGAGGACCAAATTTTCATCTATTTTGGGAATTTGTATAGACAAAGGAAACACTTTCAAATTTTTTAGGAATAAGGTTACTGGGTTGAAATGGGGAAAATTATTTAAGACACGAGTAAAATAAAACTCCTAACCGATTTATGATGTAAGTGGATATTAAACTATTTCTCCCAATATTGTGTTGGGGGCTTAAAAAAAAAAAAAGAGCCCATATAGTAACAAGTAGGAGGCCACTGACTCATTCTACCACTTCATTTGTTGGGCTGTATACACACAAGATGGCTCGCATATTCTTCCCTTTTTTGGAAGTATGAAGATAAAAAAATGGTTAAAACAGACTTTGGCATTTTTTAATCCAATTATTTTAATTTTAACACCATATTTTTTATCACATTAAAAAAGGTGAGGAAGATGGTACCTATATTACTTTTGACATTTAGTAAAAAGATCCAAACACACAAGCGCAATCATCAATAAAGAGACAAACCACATAGCCCTCAGATATCACCCTAAATGAGAGAAAAATGAATAATGATTCTTACATCATTCATTGAAAAATTAGTACCTTTTCATTTTGCTAGTTCATAAACATCACACTGATATTGATTTTCTTTAAATGATGTAAAAAATGACTTTACGAAATGAGGATGCTCAGGTGGATGAGTGGCTTTACCCTTAGAGATAGGATACGAAATGAGCATATACGTGAAAAGGTTGGAGTAGCTCCAGTAGAAGATAAGATTAGAGAGAGTTGCCTTAGATGGTTTGGTCATATAAAACGGCGGCCTTCCAATGACCCGGTTAGGAGAGTAGAGGTATTAGATTTGACTTATGTTAAGAAAGGTAGAGGCAGACCTAAAAAGACTTGGTTATAAAATATTAGGAATGACCTTTCTTTATTAGATTTAAACGAGAATTTGACCTTTAATAGGACACAATGGAGAAAAATGATTCATGTAGCCGACCCCACGTAGTGGGATAAAGGCTTGATGTTGTTGTGATGTAAAAAATGACTTTGAGAATAATATAGGATGAGTGGTCAAGATTTAGATGTTGAATCTTTTTTTTTTCTTTTTTGGAATTAAGGGCTTTTGAAAGAAGAGATAATTCTAAAAGTTTTATTGAATTAGATATCAAAAAATTCTTCAAAATGATAGAGACTGTCGTTTTCTTTAGCAAGCCCAATCATCTTTCTCATGCCCTGCTCCTAAAATAGACGTAATATGTATGATAAAACACAACACTATACTTAAAATCTTTAGTTAAATTTTGAATATATAATAAGTTGGTAAATAATATAGGTCCATGGAGGACATTTCAAAATGTGAGAAAAGTGCTTATAAGAATATCTCCTTGACTAGACATTGTGGTGAAGGATCCATCAGACATTGTTATTTTCTTGTTTCTAAAACAAGTGGTCTATGAATTCAATTTTTTAGAGAAGCTGATCATATATTATGTAGATCTTGAATCAATAATTCAAGAACTAAAAATGGTTATCCTTTAAAAGGGATGATGGGATGAGATAGTACCTAAGAATATTAAAATATAAGTACTCATTGTAGATATTTTTTTAGGTTCTCCTAGCAACTTTTCTGTCATTATTTGCATTGTAAATAGCCCAATTTTTTTTTCACTTTAAAAACCTGTGACACAATCACGACCACTTTAAATTATTTCCATTGAAAAAACATGTTAAATGGATGTTTTGCAGCTCTCGTGTCAGATTTAAATTGCATCCCTGAATTCCAAAAAATAAACAAGAACAAGGGTCTGTAATTATGCTTTTAATGTTCAGGGAGAGGGAAACTATCGTCTTATTCAGGAAAAAATAGAAAAGGAAAGAAATATGGTGATGCGGTGATAAAGGCTATGATAATGGGAACATCTTACAGTAATCTAACAATGAAAGCTACAACAAAATGAAATATTTGTGGCGATACAAAGATGAAGGCTGTAGTTATAAAAAAATTAAACAAAAAAAAAAGAGGGTTCAACAATAAATGCAGGAGGATTGTGGTAATGAAAAAATAAAAATTATCATACTAAAAAGCAAAGAAAAAAGGGCTCATAAGTTTTATGTGGCGTTAATATTGCTAAGTTGTGGAGCCTAATTTTTCCCCTATGAAGATAACATTCTACGCAAACTTAACGTGGGTTGGCCTTTGCAACAAGATTTTCATGGGGGTCGCAAGAGGGGCAGAAAGCCCCCACTCCAAGGGGTTTGGCTGACCTAATTTTTCTTTGCAAAGAAGGGGACACTATCTTTATGTTGTATTTTCTGAAATTGGGCATGTAAATCTCCACAATCTAAGCATGGTGAAATTTGCAGGGTGGAAATATGACATGATTTATAAATTGGGTGAGCTTATATATAATTAATGTATTTTTCGCGTTGATCTTCTTTCTGTTTTCTTTTTTTTTTTTTTTTTTTTTTTCCATTTTTTTTTTTTTTTTTTGTTCCCAATGTCTGGATCAGATTTCACCTATTTTCCAACAACTATATCCTTGGTTGAAAAGATAAATAAGCCGTACTAAATGCAAAAAAAATACCTTCAATTTATATGTAAGGATGAAGTTTAACTCCTTATTCAAGCGTACAGCAGGGGGCTGTTTGCTTAAATCAAGGCCAGGCCTGTCCGGTCGAGTAACCCCGGCGGAACTCACATGAACAAACCTACAAACAAAAACATATATATGGTGTATATTTTTGAAGAAATGAATTAACTAGTAAAAGGAAGCCAAGGTAAAATATCTTGGTGAAAACTTATTCATCAGAAAACTCTGCTTGGTTACCAAGCTTTTAAAAATATCAAAGGAATTGGTTAGGAACCATCACCCCACAGCGTCCCCAACAAACAACAACAGCCCGATAAATATGAGCTTAACCAAACATACATCAATAATACAACTGAACCTTGGAGTAATTGGCTCTTTGATGTATGCCCTTATTCTTGAGAATGGAAGTTGAAATGCACCTTCGACGAAATTTGGGTTGAGCTTTCCATCGTATTCAAACTTACTGTACATTAGCTGCAGAAAATTCTTTTTAGATTTGTTCCATGCAAACAACTAGCATGAATGCAGAGAAGAAAACTTAGAAGAAGCTTACCTGAAATGAAATAATTGTTCTTGGATCAAAGGGCACAGCATCTCTGACCGTCCCAGCTCGGAACACCGGCTTTAATGAAGAAAAAGGTATTTGAATCTGAAAAAAACAAAAACCAATAAAAGAAAATTAATAGTCTCAAATACTACTCAAGGTGAAGCCCAATGCTTACCGTCTGCCATTGCCCATCTACAGTGTCAAAGCTTGCAGTATATCCCACAGTATCCCAGTCGGCACTAGTGCGTAATATGAGCTTGTAACGATGACCGTCACCTTTAACCCTTAGTTCTAGACCATCATATGCTGAAAGGTCTTCAGGTACAGGAAAATTCTGAATTGTAATATTCAGATTTCTTTCAGAATGCTAATAAAGTAAAATTAAATATCATCATCAATAACCTTATCCATCTACTTGGGTCGGCTTTATAAAGCATCATTCTCTATTCATTCTCATTGTGATGCAAGAGGTGTTAAAATTGTTTTGCATAGACCTTTATTTTCTAAAATATTAAAGTTGAAATATAAAACATTTTCGTTATCTACAATGAATTTTTTTGCACAAAAGCATTAAACGTATCATAAAAAACCTTTGTTCTGATACTTGTAAAGCCACCACTATTTGTGGTCGAAACAACACCTGGAGAAGAGGTGAATCGTCAATATGTAAATATTACATGTTCAAATAAATTAAGAAAAAGTGAACAAAGCACTTCTGCATACCTTTAAAGATGCCAGAAGGTCCACCATCTTCACTACCAGTAGGATCAACAACAAATGTACTTTCGCTAACACCACCCATGACAACATCATCAAGGGCACCCCAAAGTAGCTTCCCAGACAAATTACCTGAAATAAATAATGAAACAGTATATTGAACTTTTGCTTTGGATCAAATGATTAATATATGGCAGAAAATGTCTAAAAATGAATTAATAATAAATTAATGAATGATCTTTTATTTTAAAACTTATTGTCTATCTTGTTTAGACCACAACAACAATTTCTTGTTTAGACTTGTGGGCTCCGAAAATTCGGCCTCGGCCTCCACTCGTTTTTCTTATTCGGCGAGGGAGTTTTAACGAACTAAGTTCCGAGGTAAATTTTGTTTGAATTAGGTTTCATCTATTTCCCAATAAAAACAAAGTAAATAACTAGCCTAAACATGAATTATGGAAATATCATTTGAACAGTCAAATAACTATTTGCTTTTCCTCAAATTATAATAGGTGACCAACAACCTATCATCATTTCAATTTCATTAATTAAGCTTCAAAAATGGTGGGGAGAAAATCAAAGAAAGAAGAAAGAAACAACAGCGTTAACTGATAAAATAAAAGAATGAAAGAAACTTTTTTTTTTTTAATTGAAAACTCCTTTTTGATTACTCGTAACCATCTACCTTTTACATAAGCAAATAGGTGGTAACACTATTAATGGGGTATCACAATATCAACAGATAGTTAACTATCAACTACGGAGCTAAATATGTAGGTACACGGATGACAACGAGATGATAGTTTGGCTTCCTAAACAAACATGAAAGTTCATAAGAATATCCAAAGCAATATTCACTTGACAAAGAATGTCGCCTTTCACATGTGGACAAAAGACATACAATTTAAGTACTACTACATAACAAGTTCACTCGAAGAAGGGCTCTCTAGTTCATAGTAAAAAAGGCAAAATTCTTTTTTATATACTCACATAAGCGATTAAAATTCAAAAGCTGAGGTATTGTAACGTTTTAGTTAACCTCTGCAACTGATGATAATGAGATTATGCATACAAAAGGTGTGCAAGCATTTACCACTAAACAAGTACACCATAAATTATATCTCTAAATTGGAGATTGTTAATCACGTGGAGCCACAATATCTTATAGATAAAATAATCACAATATATGGTTGAATCTTCTCAAGGCTTGGAATTGTGTAGCTTGATATTGAGTTGTTTTCTATCCATGTGGAGTGGCATACGCCTCATAGTGTTTTGAGTCATAAAACTCAAAATTAAACCATAAAACTAATAAAATATATGAAATACGAGTAATATAAAAACAATAAATCTAAGTATGATCATAACAATAAATCTCTTTAACTCCCAATTCAACATAAATAAGTAGTATAAGTTACTAAGATTATAATTTAAGAATTCAAAACTCTGCACTACTATCGTCATTTAGTGGGTCTTCATAAGAATTATAATTATAATGAATTGATTTCTCTCCTCTCTTATTCTCAGTTGTAGCTGCAAGTGCAAGTAGTGTCGGGTGAGAGTGCAGCATGCAATTGGGAATCGAGGAAGCGCATGCAATTCCGGTTCTCGATTGTGTTTGTTGAGGTTTAGCTGGAGAAATAATAGAATAGGACTTATCTTATATATTAAATTTATAAATTAAATATTTAAATAGCATGAATCTTAATTTTTTAGGCTTTTGCCTCTTACAAATTGTCCAGAGGTGTATACACCTAATGGCATGTTCTTCCAAAATTGTGATAAGGCAAACCCCTTATTGCACAAATTGAAATAAGGAATCTCCCCATTAAATACAATTTGTGACTAGTCATTTATGCAGGCTATAGGAATATTTTGAAGATCTTGTAAGGATCTTGAAGAAAATATTTATTGACTATGAGAGAGCTTGTGGGATCTTTTATTGAGATGAACGATTTTGCAATATCTTGTGGATCATGAAATAAATTTTATATCTTGAAATACATTCATTGTTAGCATTATAAATAGAGCCTTAAAAGGAAGGGTTTGGCATCTCATGACTAGAAGCAAATATAGACAAAGGGGGCGATAGACAGATAGTTAATAGATTTGCCAACTAAATGAGAAGGGAGGAGTTTTTAAATGCTTGTAGGAGGAAGGACATCTGCTTCTTCAAGAGGAAGAAGGAACTGCTAACTAAAAGAAGAAAATTTCATCCATATCAAGGAGAAGCTTTTGTTTGGACTCCTACAATAGAGAAGAGATGAGAATAATAATAATGTCTTGATGCTGACAACTAGATAAAAAAAGCCACAAGAGGAGAACACCAGGACAAGTAGAACATTTCTCGATTCAAAACTTAGAATGCCAACATCAAACAAACTTTGAAACAAACAAACGAAAACTAAATTAAAAATAAAAACAACTACCCTCAGAACAACCGACTAACGGTCACCTCACATGCAATCGAAATAGTAGGCAATATAAAAGATGTGCTTAAGGGCAACCAAGGGTCCACCACAACTACTTGGGCCAACGTCCACCAAAACACCTCCGACAAATGCTACCAAACCGGCCAACCAACAGTCCAACACCTCCAATAGCTCAAGAAGAAAAATACAAGTGGAGTGGAACTTGCGGAGAGAAGAAATGAATAAGAAGCCCAAGACAAAATTGTAGAGATGAGAAGAGAGTTGGAACAAGCTCGCAAGCTTTCCAAAGAAGAAACCGGCAGGTTTTTAGAGAACTTAGCTCAACAATCAATAACCTTTTCAAGCACCAAAACATCTCATATATATAGGAGAAAAGGGGCAGCCAAACAGCCCAAAATACTTCCAACCAAACCAATCAAGAAGGAAAAACAGAAGGCCAAAAGGCTGTCCAGGAGCAGCACCTGAAGGGCCACAAAGGGGACAGGAACGGGCAGCCACAGGGAACCGGAACAGGCAGCCAGGGGAGAAGAACCAGCCACGGGACAGGAGCTAGGAGGAGGAAACCGAAGGGCCATAGAGAGGGGAAATGAACAAAATCCACTCCACTTAATGAGCTAAAAGGGAGGTGAACCACCCATAGTAATACAACAACAACAAGCCTTTATCCCACTACGTGGGGTCGGCTACATGAATCATTTTTCTCCATTGTGTCCTATTAAAAGTCAAATTCTCGTTTAAATCTAATAAAGAAAGGTCATTCCTAATATTTTCTAACCAAGTCTTTTTAGGTCTACCCCTACCTTTCTTAACATAAGTCAAATCTAATACCTCTACTCTCCTAACCGGGTCATTGCAAGGCCGCCGTTTTATGTGATCAAACCATCTAAGGCGACTTTCTCTAATCTTATCTTCTACTGGAGCTACTCCAACCTTTTCACGTATATGCTCATTTCGTATCCTATCTCTAAGGGTAAAGCCACTCATCCACCTGAGCATCCTCATCTCTGCACACTTAACTTAGTATTATGCTTCTCTTTTAAAGGCCAACATTCGGCACCATAAAGCATTGCAGGCCTCACTACCATCTTATAGAATTTTCCCTTAAGTTTGAGGGGTACATTTCTATCACATAACAAGCCCGATGCATTCCTCCAAAGCAGCTCCCAAAAGAGAATTTGACTGAGCAGCCAAGCTCCCAAACCGAGGACCCACCAGCAGCCCAAGAGCCAAGGCACCAAGATAACTAGCACACCCAAAGATTACCAAGCCCAAGCACAACCTACTCATGATCATTGGTTGCCTTCCATCATAGGGCAGCATAAAAAAATCAAAAATAACTATAGAATTCAAATTACAATAAAAACAAAAACAAAAACTGATATTTGCATGCATCACGTCTTCATCTCTAACAATTGTCTCCACGGTAGATGATTATATTCTCTATAAATCATAGAGAAGAGAAGATTGCAATGCTTTATGGCACATAATGTTGGCCATTAAAAGAGAAGCATAATATTAAGTTAAGAGATGAGGATGCTCAAGTGGATGAGTAGATTTACTCTTAGAGACAGGATACGAAATGAACATATACGTGAAAAGATTGAAGTAGCTCCCGTGACAGATCAGATTAGAGAGAGTTTCCTTGGATGGTTTGGTCACATAAAACAGCGACCTTCCGATTACCCCACTAGATGTATTAGATTTAAACTATGTTAAGAAAGGTAGAGCTAGACCTAAAAATACTTTATTAGAAAATATTAGAAATGACCTTTCTTTATTAGATCTAAATGAGAATTTGACTCTTAACCAGACACAATGGAGAAAAATGATTTATATAGCCAGCCCCATGTAGTGGGATAAATGCTTGATGTTGTTATTGTTGTAAATCATTAACATAAATAAAGTGGCATCTCTTTTCTTATGATGCAGTCAAGAATTTACGTATGGTGTATTTTTATTTTTTCGTGTTATTGGACGCTATGTATTTTATTTTTGTATAGTCATATAATGGAAAACAACTAATGATCATGCTGGGTTCGATGCTCTAAGGTTGGTTCATACCATTGTCCTTTCATTTGAGTTTGATCTTGTTTCCTTCCTCTTTGATGGATGGTTGGGTCTTTAGTTATGCGCTATTTTTTCCCTTATTGGGCTTGGCCCATTTTCCCCTTTTAGCTGTTCGGATTTCCCCTTTGCTGATTTGGCAGCTTGGGATTCTACCCACTCCCTTTTTGGCTATTTGGTTTTCCCTCTTGCTGATTCATGTGCTTGATGTTTCGGCTTCTCCTTTATAGTTGATTTGTATTGTTTTTATTGGTTAAATTGATGGCTCATTTAATTGAACAATTAAATGCTCTTTTCCCCTCCTTTCTCTATATAAAGTGGTTGTAGCTCTATTATAAAAAGGAGTTCTTGGAGAAGAAAAATTCAACAGGAGGGTTCTTCGTGGCTTCCGAGCTAGTCTTTCTCCTATCCCTTAATATTTACTCTCGATCTTCTTTCTACTCCTCTCAACGGTTATCATTCCATCTATATCTTTCTTCTCTAAACATTGTGAGTTATGAGGATGGTTATTACTCTGTTCTATTGGTATTTTCCTGAGGAGTGCAGATTTGCGCTAGATCAAAATTTCAGTGGTGGATTATTGGTTCGATTTTTCCTTGGAGCATGTTTCCCTAGTTTTGTGCATTGCATGTGAGG